GGGGAGTAGCCGTCCGAGTCCGGCTGCTGCGGCGCACAGCCGGGGAGCGAGGAGCCTAAAATGCTCCTCGAAGCTCCACCGGGGATCCAGGGTCAGGCCAAGATACTTCATGTGCATCTCGACATGAACCTGGATCCCCTCAACCAGGACACGGAGCCCCGGTGGGGTCCTACATCTTGGGGCATGGAACGCCATGGCCCTCGTTTTATCGAGGGCCACCTCCAGCCCCAGGAGGCGGATGCGTCGGACGACCATGGAGGTGCCGACCGACGCAAGGTGGACCGCCTCCTCCCACTCCTTCGCTCTCGCCGCGACAAGGGTGTCGTCCGCAAAGCAGACGACATCCATTCGCGGCAAGAGCGAGCCACGCAGGACCCAGTTGTACCCCAGGTTCCATAATAGAGGGCCTAAAACGGAACCTTGGGGCACACCCCCCGCCACTGTCCACGACTGGACGCGCCCCTCCGCGTCCTCGTAGAGGACTGACCTGTCCCGCAGGTAGTCCTGTACGAGGGCGCGGAGGTAGAGGGGCACTCGGTGGAATTCGAGCGCCGCCTCTATGCACTCGTGGGGGATGGTGTTAAACGCGTTCGCGATGTCCAGGGACACCGCGATCACCACCTCCCCCCGCCCTGTGGCCACCTCAGTCCACCTTTTGAGGTGGCCTATCGCGTCCATCGTGGACCGGCCGGTGCGGAAGCCGTACTGGCAGTCTGCCAGATCCGGCCCCGTGCCCTCTATGTGCTCGATGATCCGGGAGGCGATGATTTTCTCAAACGCCTTCCCGGACTCATCGAGCAGCACCACCGGCCGATAGCCCGCCGGAGAGTCCGCCGGGCGGCCCTCTTTACGGAGCAGAGCCGCCCCTCCCTCCAGCGCCTGGGGAAGCGACCCGACGCGATGCATACATCCAGCACCGCGCGGAATCGGTCCCCCAGGGGGCCCAAGGCGATCGCCATCACCTTGGCTGGGGCCCCATCCGGCCCCGGAGCCTTGTTACGGCTCCGGAGCCGGTCCCTCACCATGTCAATCTCAGCGTCCGACACGGAGGGACCAGCGGCCCTCGCCTCCGGGGCGGAACCGGAGGCCATCCTGGGGGGTGCGAAGGGTCCGGGGTTCGGAAAAAGCGTCCCCAGTACCCTTCGCAACAACCCTGGCTCCATACAGGACGTTGAGGGGACCGCCAAAGCGAACTTACCCCTCACCGCCCTGTACGGCCTCCCCCAGGGGTCGCCGTCTAGGATAGCTATGTAACTATCCCAGGCAGCGACCTTGGCCCTGCAGATGGCAGTTCGCAGGGCCCTGTGGGCCACATTGTACGCCCGGCGGAGGCTCATCTCCTCACCGGGCGTACTCCGGGCGCGCCCACGGCACCGTAGGTAGGCGCGCCTGGCCCCCATACTGGCGGTACGTAGGATCGTGAGCTCCTGCGTCCACCAGTATACCTGCCCCCTGCTCCGTGGGCAGGCCCGCGCCCTCGGCATGGCGGCACTGCAGACAACGTTGATGTCGTCTGCGAACAGGTCCGCCATGACGGACTTCATGCCTAACCCCTCACGGGTGGGAAACGGAGAAGCCATTAAGCAAAGCCTTGTCTTCCAATGGTTTTGAAATTCTCCAGTCCGACTGTGCCTGACAACTGAAATAACTGAAATTTGTACACTCAGATGAATTTATGCGAGCCCCTTGTCCTGTTTCTATTTGTCGTCACACTTAGGCTTACATTCGTACATATTTGGCTTACATCATCGCCTATAGTTCTACATCAACCAAATCTTCCTGAATGAGTGAGTATATATTGTGTTGTTGTCTACCCCGGAATGATTTTACTATACTGATTTCTCATTTTAAAGAATTACACTAAGAAACTTAACGAAAACGAATAGAAAACTTTAAATACTTTAAATAAACGCTTATGCTTCAATATAGTTGAAAATAAAAATAAAAAGTTGCTTGTGAAACTTTGTATTCCACGGGTCTTCTCGTATTTTTCTTTGCTGAGAAAACAGAGTTTGAACAACAAAACTACAATGTACGAACGAACTTATTCTGGCTGCTGAACTTGCTTATCTTCTTTCTTGGTTTACTTCACAAGCTCACTATCAAATTCTAACGATTAGCTATTTATAACTGTACAATTTTTTGAAAAGTGTATAGTCTGTGCTATACGTAACCAATGTATTGTTAAACTTTTTTCTAGTTTTTATTTATCTCATGAAATAGACCAATTCTAGATGAATTTTAAACTAGAAACTTTTCGTAGTGCAGATAGATTTATTAAATAAATTTAATTGTGATGCGAAATGCAGCCGGTCAGTCTAGATACCGTTGTTCCCGACGAATCTTGCAATTTCCATCATAAAGGCCTGTTTAAATGTTCCGTGGGCTGTCCATTTGCTGACCGGCTGTGACCAATTTATACTCATCCGTGGCCCGTTATTAAATCACTAGGATTTGTGTCTCAAGTAGCAAGACGAAGCGGAGCATAAGATTGTTAAGTTCGTTCTTAGGTTTTCACGCACATCACTCATTAAATAAAACTAGTTTTTAAATAAATAAAGTTTCATTGTTATGTTCGTTAACATATATGTGTCTCCTGTTACAGATATTGTTTTACTTAGATGTTATTCGCAGTCAGTGTTTCTTTTTCTTCAATTATGTACCTCCGTAGCCCTATTCGTCATACTTATCGCCGCCATGTTCTTCTGAGGTGTATTATTGAGTTTTTGTTATCTCAGGTGGTTATGCTATTATTTTGGAGCACGCTGCTTTCACGGAATAGATGTTTTTTAATTGACACTTTTAATGCCGCTTAGGACCCAACCCATATCAAGTTTTCTTTGTGAAATAGTAGCATCGCTTGTGCCACGTCTACTTTACGTCTTCATTCAAATTACCCATTACTCAATTGCGCACACTCATCTCGCCCGTTGACAACGAGATGAGCTAAAAATAAACATCTATTTAGGAGCTTGCGTGAATTGTTCACACATACCACTGTTTAAAAAAGTCGACCAATTTGTACCATTGTTATTTAGACGGTAACTAAAGGATTAGAAGGGAAGTTCAGCGTCCATATATAGTTAGCCTAAGAACCAACAATCATGAAATATTATTTTCTAGGTTCGATATCGTAAGTAAATGACTGTAAAAACAAAGATTATTGACGGACACTTCTGAACTTAAATTATTAGAAAAACTAAAATGTTTTTGAGGTTATGTTTAATATTCAATGAAACATAGGTCAACCTATGAACTTAGTATGTACTCAGTATGGAGTAAATTAATATTACAAGAAATTCATTTTATTCGGTGCGATTTTAAAGAAGAAAAAGAATTAGGAAAAACTTGGTTAGGTAGGAATCATGAATAAAATAAAAACTGTAGTTTTGCTTCTTATTTTTTGACTATTTTTCACATAATTGTATCATATTGTATATATTTGTATATCACATGTATATTGTGTAAATATGCAGCGTGAATGTGTATCGGGTGTTGTGTTCTTGAATAATTAAGCAGTATGATCCTCTCAGGATGTTGTGGCACAGGTTCACTAGCACTTGGTAATAAGGGCTCTTCTCTTTGGTAACATTGATGGCATATTAGATAGCCAAAATAGTTAGTTTAAAGGATAAACAATCGCAAATAAGCACACACAACAGGTAATCCCAAAACGAGAATGCACTTTCCGGTATATTAAACTACTCTGGAATGCACGAATGCCACAGATTACTACGAATGCAAACTGCATGCACCACAACCACAGAGTAACGAGTTTTATGCCGGCCTTTCACTTGACAACAGTTTATCCTTGTCATGCTTAATAAGGGTAGTTTTCCAATTACAGCACTAGAGTGAATTATGCGTCATAATGCTTATCGTTGAATGTTTCAACTACAGCAACGCACAATCGAGCACTCTCAAAAGTACCTAATGTTTTCGTGTGATGCGTGCAATCTACCAACTCAGTGACAGAATATTAACATGTGTTTTATTTAAGTTTTGTTGAAAAATTTTTAAAGTTTTTTTAAAATAATCAAAGTTAATTCAAACTGTTAAAAAAAAAGTATGGACGAAGGTACAAACATTGACTTAGCGCACTCTGCTGGTGCATTTGAAAACTAATTCACGTTCCAATTAAGCATCAGCATAATTCGGAAATGTGCGCCACTAAGTCGCATTATGCTCTGTAATTGGAAAACTAAGCCAAGTAAGAAGTGCCGGCATTAGGAAGAAATAGTGTTTTGTTTGCAGCGCTGTCATAGATTATAACATAAAATGGTATTTATTGTCCCAGATTATTTTTTAACTTTTTAATTTAGCTTACTTAACTGGAAGTGTCCGTCACAATCTAAATACTGATAATTATCGCAAAAAATATACTACGAATTATCATAAATGCCAAATTGGTGTTGGTTCTTAGGCCAATTTTAACAGTGTCCTTTGAAGCTCAAGCGCATGCGCAGATGATAACAAAAAAAAATTTAGGTTTGCTATTTATACTTATCCTATCCAAGAGCTAAGTTAGTATAAGATCCTTAATTGATAACGATAGCCGTTGAATTGAAATATAACTATTCTATCCAATTAAATCTACGATGAGGAGCTCAACGGCGCAGGTGGTTAGTGCATACGGCTTGCGAACGTAGAAGTTAAACAACTTTCGCGATGGCCGGTCATTGGGGATAGATGACCAGAAACCTATATCTCGATCTCCTTCGTGCTTTGGAAGGCACGCTAAGCCGTTGGTGCCGGCTGCATCTGCAGTTCTTAGCATCCACCAATCCGCATTGAGCTCGTATAGTGGATCATGGCCCAACCTCGCTATTCCAATCATAGCAAAAGCGTGTGTTTCAGCAGTGGGGATATTAAAAGGCTGATAATTACTCCCACGATGGTGTGAAAGAATGAGAGAATGCTCCAGTTGGCTGGTATTCATATTTCCTAGTTGTTACGTCTTCATCTTCTTTGTTCCTGACATCATTTTCTTTTGTCCACAGCCCACCCCTCCCAAGAAGCCGCCACGTAGAAACCTATCAGTGTCTCCCACACACGCCAACTCTCCATCGTCTGGTTACAGCTACGAGTTGAGGCCTCACGCTAGGAGTCAAGACGACTTAGATGATATACCGGTAAGAAGCAGAAGAGTTAGTTTTTAAAGAAGTGTTATTAAATTATTTCACTTTATGTAAGGTTTTTCGTTCATTTAAAAGCAAGTGTTTATAATGTGGTAACTGTCACTTTGGTATTATTAAGTGCCGTCGGCTTTATTTTTTATCTATTATTAGTTATATTCAGTTTTCACTAGCGATTTTCCGAGTAAAGTTCGACGTATTGCAATTACGTGTAATAATAAAATCTGCAAGAAAACTTCAACAAATTATGTTCTACAAATTACAAACTTCGGAAGAACTAAATGCCATTTCTCATATACCATTCTATGTCAGTCAAGAACTGCGATATAATTTCCATTTCAAAAAACCTGTAAATTATAGTCCCAAAGAAATCATAATTATAAAAAATAAAACTAACTGGCTATCCCAGAATCTTATACTCTCACCAGTTCTGAATGGTGAGTTTACAAATCTTCAACTCGGTTTCCTTTGTTGCAGGGTGCCAAACATTACCTTAAACACGGTCGCTCTGTCGATCAGTACGTAGATGGAAAACTAAGCTATTCAGAATACGAGGACAACCACAACTCGCCCCGAATAGCGCCAGTGCCCAATCCTCGATCAAGTCTCAAAAACAGGTCTCAACCCGTTGCCATAACGGCTATGTACGAAAATGTCGTTATAAAAGAGCAGAATCCCAGACGCAAGTTGAGAAGGAACAATTTCGCGCCACCATACGAGAACTACGAGCCTAGAATGAACGACACCAGACCTAGAAAGTATTCGAACCAAGAGAGGTCTTCCTTAGAGAGTTTATTGGACGACCAGTCGATGAACAGTCCGAGCGACTGTGAACGGTATTACGATGGACCGAGGGCGGATATTCCCTTGTCGCCGACGCATTATGAGCAGCCCCCCACTCCTGACCACCCCCCTCCATCAGCGAAGCAGGCTGAGAACAGCATCCACGAGAGGATAAGGCCGCTGAGTCAGGTTAGTCCTGATTGAGTCATTTGTAGATGCTTTCTTTTATGTGTATGCTAAAATAGCACTTATTATCTTAGAGTTACCATTTGAAATGCAGCAACTGATAGTGATTTTAGATATTAATTAAGCATGTTAAACTACTAATTTTAAAAGTTGTCGGTTAAATTTTGATCACAAACTAATAGATTCTATTTTCTAACAAAAATGACAAAACTTTGAAATTTGATATTGGTAAATGATATTATTATTTTTTATTTTATATAATAGCGATCTTTCAAGTCTTAGGTTTAGGTACAAATTCATGTTTTATGTAACTAACTTTTCATTTAAACACTGTAGTCACTCTAAAACCGCACAAAACTGATATAAAAATGTTTGTCATTGAAATATAGGCTTACCGTAAATTACCTACATTAAAAAAAACACAGAAATGCCATTTTTATTGTAAAATGAACTTTAATTGCATACGCTAAAGTCCATATTTAAATGACAAGCTTGTACAGCGCCATCACAGCGATGAACCCAATACTGCATGTTACACAAAATAATTTCAAATCCACTTTTATTATGATTTGAATAAATGCATGGAACGTAATACTTAATTATAAACAGTAAGTTTTTATTATTTCATTTATTGTTTTATTTTCGAATATTTCAGCTTATAATGGAGGTTGTTGAAGAGATAAGAATTAGGAAAAAATCACAGGGTGATACAATAAAGAGCTGATGATGTAAATAATTATTAACGGATTTTTAAAACGTTAGCGTTATATATTATTTCGTATCATATTTTAACCTAGTCTTTAGAATTAGCCGTTAAGTCTTGTGCTAAAAGGTGCTTATACTTTTAAAAGAGTTAAATATATACCCTCGTTGTCACTTGAAATTTATTCTTGATATGATAAGTATTCCTTAGGTGCTATTAATTTATAGGTACTCTTATTAATAAACGATTTAAGTAGCGTTAATTATTTGTACAACGTTTTGTCAAATTCATTCCAATGTATTTTTTAATTCGAGATATAAAGGCAAAATGCTGTTTTTTTTCAACGCTTTATACATTGTTTATTAATAGAGATACGTTTAAAAATATATTCTTAAGTACCTACTAACAGTAAACCTCTAAAGAAGTGCCTTTTTTTAAGTTTTTATCTGATTAGGTATACATAAGGCGATGTAATTTTTACTACAATATTTAGGTATTCGGTAATCAATTTGTTTTAATTACAACAGTATTATAAACTCACATGAAATAGGAAGCATTAAAACTGCGCTCAACAATATTTTTTGTACAAAGAAGCATTTACGAAATTTTAAAATGTGATAAGATAACGAATTCATAACTATTTTTTTGCAAGTTAGCAATTCTAGTATTTGTGAATATAATTGTAGGTTTTACCAGCATGACAGTATAAGAATAAATAAAAAAAACTAGATTGGTATAGTTGAAAGTATATAATGAAGCATTATGTAGTTTTATTTAGACTGAAAATTTGTTCCAAAAATTCATTGGTTTTTATCATTTTGTGTTATGTTAAGTGGTGATGACATTATTTTTTAAGATTCTGTCGTATTTTTTATATTTTATTTCCACTGTAATAAACTACTTATGTCGATTGTTCCTTGTTTTATTTGATTTAATTATATTTTTTGCTTAATTATGCTTTGCTATTGATGTTATTTTATTTTTGTGACACTTGAAATGGTGACAATCAAAATAATGCAGTGTATAGCCGCAAGCAACATAATACTATTTAAACATTTCTGCAATTTTTGCGGGGGGAGTATGAACACAAATGCAGTTTAACGTGCATGCGTAAAAACAAATCTGTAATTACGTCACTCACACATAGACAATGACATAATCCTCCAAATCCTGTGCACATGTATCGTTTGTATGCCCAATTCGGCAGAGGCGAAGGCTGTGTATGCTCCTGGCCGTGTCGGCGGTGTTGCTCTATGGTTGGCTGCCATCTTTCCCGAGCGGAAGTCACAGTCATAGAATGTCCCAAAACTTGTGGCCACATAGAGGGACCAAAATTTTAAATATTAAACTTTAAAAATCATGATCTTCTTTTTATTTTAGATGTTATGTTACCAAGAAAAAATAAATTATGATTGATACTTTTGATCGGTACAGTAAAATTACCGGTAGTTATTTGTCACATTTAGCAGGTTCTACTCTCGGTTCAGACAGGCGATTTTTTTAATACTTAAATTTAAGTTCGTTTTTATTTTTAAAATTAAATTGAAGTCTTCCCTCACTAAAACTTGCTATCTTGTATTTAAGGTATTTTTCTACCCTCCATGTGGCTTAGTTTTGGGTCTTTCTGTATAATTTATTCATAAATCTAAACAAGGACATTATCACAACACAACCAAATCTTGCACACTTCTTTACATACATAAGCCCAAATGGGCATACACTTTGACAGAGGGGAAAGCTGGGTATGGTAGGTTACTTTCCTGGCAGCATTCGTGTAACTGTGGTTGTGAATATTAAAAATCATAACATTTCCTTCTGCTTTTACACCACTTAGATGCTTAAATGACACCTTTTCACAAGTGCCTTATTTATTTAACAATAGCGCCGGCTTATGACTTTGCCCGCGATAACTTTTTTTTTCGAGAAACCCACAGGAACCTCACATTTTTCCGGGATAAAAAGTATCCTTTGTCTTAATTCAGGTCAGAAACTATATGCGTACCTACCAAATTTCATCTCAATCCGTTTAGTAGTTTTTGCGTGATTGAGTGACCAACATAAAAACATATCGCAGGCATTTCAGTTGGCTATTCGTATTTCTTAATAATGATCTTTACTAGGTCAGCAAATCAACTCAAAATCAACAGTATAATGATATAATAAGCTTTTTAATTAATATACTTTTTAAATCATCGAAATCTGTTCATTCGTTGCGATTTTATAACTAATTTTATGGTAGTTCACTCCGGTCAAACTGCAGTAGTGTCTCTTCGCACGCTGCCGCCCGAGCGCTAGAGCTCTGTGACGTCACAGCCACCACGCGGCCAGCCGAAAATTCGTTTAGTAATTTGGTCATAACTTCGTCAATATTTGTCGTAGAATAAAAATTTAACCACTGTATTTTATGGAATCCTTAGAAACGTTACGGATCCTCATTGTAAATATGAATGACAACAATATGTCCTTATCATGTTTTTATGGAATGAAAAAGACAGACTGATGTCAATTTTACAAATAGCAAACATGAAAAACCAAGTGATAAGACTGCATAACAAATATACAAACAGGTCAACTTTATTTTTCATTTTCTTTTCCTACTTCTATTTTACTTAGAAAATAAAGTAGGCAGCGTAGTAAGCAAAGTAGTATAGTGAGTAAACAGGCATGATTATTAAATCTAAAAAAAATATTACTAGAAAAAAATCCACGCGGACCACCAATCGCCTAACTCACGGGATTGCTATGTCTCGCCAACGCTTACGTTTTCACTTTGTTATTTCTGACCGCCGAAGGTTTTCAAATGCCTCACGCTTATTTTTTTTAATATTGTTATTACCAATACAAAAGATAAAAAAGAGCGCGAGGCATTTGAAATCCTCAGGCGGCTAGAAATAACAAAATGAAATCGTTAGCGTTTTCCAAAGCATTTCCGTTAGGCGAATGGCCCCCAGGTAGGGTTTAAGTGTCAAGGTTGGTAACGGTGTGATCACAGAACACAGAAAGAGGTTAGAAGGGCCTTGCGGGTGGGGCAGGCGCGCTACAGGAGGCCTACTCTATTTCAACGAAAAACGAAATTTCGATCGAAATTCCGTATGTTCCTTACTCTGTTTCTATTTAATTTCGAAAATTCATTCGTCCGAAAATAGTTTGACATTTAAATTCTCCAAGCCTACTCTAATTCACAAAACTTTCGAACTAAAAGTTGAATTTGACAGAAAATTGTTCGAAATTTTAACCTCAAATTGACGAAATGAAAAGTGTTACCTTTTCATTTTCGTTTTGGGATTTTTGTTTAAATTAAACCTAAAATTACAACTAGAATAGTTTTAATTAAGGCTGCTTAGAGTGAGGAACATTTTTTGTATGAAAATTTACAAATAAATCAAATTTTTGTTTATTAATGTATTGCCAATACTTTAAAGTGTTACACGACAAATTTAGGTTGACATACATTCGATTGCATGAACTCTACAAATTAGTCGGCTATCACTGTCAAAAGAGTTTGTTTTAATGTAATCAAAAATTTTGTCATAAAGTAATATTGTTTTGAAGTAAAAAGCGTTATCTAAAAAGTGTAGACAAAAAGAACTCACAAGCATAACTCATTCCATTCGTTCATGATAATTGTCTGTGATTCCGAACTTTATGTGAGTGTTCGAAGATGAAATAGAGTAGTCACTGGTAAAATTTCGTTTAAAATTCGTTCGTTGCCGAAATTTCGTTTCGGAGAAAGAGAGTACAGCTCCAGTTGTAGCAAATGTTCATAACTAGACGAATACTAGGTTCTGATTGCGTCGTTGCTCTCGGGTGTGAGCGCCGATTGGTCCGATTGTTTGATGTCGCGTCATTTGATTGGCTATTATCTATTAGATGGAAGTGTAGTGAGGAGGCGACATCGCTCACCCTTCTAACCACTTTCTGTGTTCTGAAGGCGTGACTGATGCTATCACCAGCGTGTAATGGCTCATGCACAAAGACCGTCAGGCGGCTACTTACATCAAAAGTCAAAATATCTTTATTCAAATTGGATGCACAATACAACTCTTGAATCGTCCATATTTTTCCCCTACCACCAGTTAAGGAGATTTTTTTAGCCGTAGAGAAAAATTGGCGAAGAGAATTTCACAGCGTTATATTTACAAAATATTATGACGACCTCCGCGGTCGAGTGGTTTGTACGCCGGGTTTCATGGTATATAAATATTGTATATACATTGCTATATAAATATACTTATATATGTATTAGTATATGTATTCTACCCGTTACCCTAGTATCCCCATAACACAAGCCTTACAGTGCTTACTTTGGGGCTAGGCTAATTGGTGTGAGTATTTGAAATATTTATTTATTATATTGTTACGATGTCAATACAAAATCATATCATCTTCATCATAATAATAGAAAAAGCCTGCCGGAAGGTTTGTAACAGTTTCAACCCAAACATTTTTGTCTGAAATAAAATCAGTCTTTTTATAATAGGCTTTATAAGAACTCTTTTAATTTAATGAAGCTTAATTTTTGGATATTGCTAGGGACTTTATTGTAGAAGCGAACAGCAAGACCTTTAAATGAATTATTGATTTTGTGGTGCCTTGTAATTGGTACAGCGAGTGCTTATATAGATACTCAAAGACCTATTACTATTTATAGGAAATAATGTAATATTATTTCGAAATGACATTAAATTTTCATAAATGTACTGAGAAGCAACAGATTTCTTTAAAATTTTCTCTTTCTTAAGATTGTAAATTGATCGAACAGGCCGCTTTTGCAGCACAAAAATAGTTTGAATCTCGACAGCATTTCCCCACAGCAATAAGGCGGACTGATCGTTATCCACCCTTTTTGTAATAAAAGGTACACGTTCATAGTTCAAGGTGAGTATATTATTGACTTTAATATTATTTGTTTTCAGTGACAAAATTTAGAGTATTAATATTATTATGATCTCAATGATAAAAAAACTAAAAGTAGTTGAAAATGCCAGTTCAGATATTAGATTCTCAATTCTAGATATTCTAATATTCTCAAAATTTATTTCCGTGTTTGGCGTCGGTTCTAGGTTCGTCACCATAAGGCTGCAGATGAGGACGCGAAATATTTTGCGCGCGGATTTATGTTTTATTAACTAGGACTTAACGTTGAAATTCTTTGTGAGTAACTAACTGCGCGGCGTGCACTCCTCGATCACACGGCGGCCGCCTCGCTTGAATCACTAGAATGTTTTAACATCAAATATTTTGTGTGATGTGAATCAAATGTTGTATCAAATGTTTTAAGTCTATTTCTAAGGTAGTCCACTGGTTTAACGTTAATAATTTACTGCTAAATGAAGGGAAAACTAAGTGTTTGAAATTTGTTTTACCTAATGTTAAACAGGTAAAAACGAATGTAAATATAAAGGATCGAAATGTGAGCCTTGTAGATACCACAGTGTTCTTAGGAATCACACTAGATTCAAAGTTGCAATGGGGCCCACATATTGATAAATTGTCGAAGAGACTTAGCTCTGCAGCATATGCTGTAATGAAAATACGTCAGTTAACGGATATAGAAACTGCCAGATTAGTCTATTTTAGTTATTTTCATAGTGTAATGTCTTACGGTATTTTACTGTGGGGAAATGCCGCCGATATTCAAACAATATTTGTGTTGCAGAAGCGGGCTATTCGATCAATTTATAATCTTAAAGTTAAGGACTCTTTAAGAAATAAGTTTAAAGAAATAGGCATAATGACGGTTGCATCACAATACATATATGAAAACTTAGTATATGTCAAAAAAAATATTAGTTTATTTACTAAAAATAGTGAAATACATACACTTAATACTAGAAGTAAAAATAAGTTAACTTTACCTGCTACTAGGCTCCACAAAATTAATAACTCGTTTAGAGGCCTCTGTGTTCGCTTTTACAATAAAGTCCCAAGCAATATTCAAGAGTTGAGCCTGACTAAATTTAAATCGACTATTAAAAAAACTCTTATTAAGAATGCTTATTATAAAGTGTCTGATTATATTACAGACAAAAATGCTTGGGTTTGAACTGTTCCAACCATTCCAACGGGTATTTCTATATGATATATATTATGGATCATGTGTTGATGATACTTTTATTGAAAAGCTGTATTTAAAGCTGATTACGTAAGGAAGAATATCAGACTATTTAAGAAGATTTGAATGACAAAACGGCGTGGTCATGATTTCTCCATTGTTTTTGCTTTGTAATTGTTTGCAGTGTCCTACAGATAAATGACTTTAAGTTTAAGTAAATATGTTGTGGTTGATATAGGTGGTTATGGGTAGTCATGCTCTCTTAAAAGTCTCTTCGGTGGTGTCGTGTGAGGCGGGTCGTTACGTTCCCTAAAATATGGTTGAGCGAAGCGATGGCTGGTTCATGCGTCATGCTCGTGAACGGGTGCTGCCAGCGGAGATGAGTCTGCCCTAACTACTCTGATATTTAAGATATAAATGTTTAATTACACCTATTATAAATAACTCTGTTTGTATTTATACTGTGTGACACAGCAATCAAAATGCAGGTGTACAATTAATGTATAATTTCACATTATGTAATGAAGGGTGACTTCATGAATCATCTCTGAAGTCATTTTTCAACTTGACGACTCTGTAAATGATAAAACAGGGAGAAAAAAAACAGCCCTTGCTGAGTTTCTTGCCGGTTCTTCTCAGTACAAGGTCTCCCGCCGTAGATTTACGAACCGATGGCGTAGCTTCTCGACATTCAGATGTGCTTGTAACAGCCTAAACTGAATAAATGATTTTGAGTGAGTGAGTGAGTGATTAACATCCATTCGGAAATAATCTGCGATTTGTTTTTCATATTCTCGCAGTTGGTTGTTATAGCATATGAAATTCACCAAACTCTTCTCGCCGTGCTACATTACGATGAAACCAATTTCTTCTACATACCTATCTTTGTACTTGTTTTTTGCTTTATCGGTAGGTACAAGTAATTTGCAATCATAATTTTCTTCCTCTTAGTCAAATAGCCCATAACGAATACGTGTGAAATTTAAGAAAGACCACGATCAACTTCAAATGAATCGAGTTAGCAGTGGCGGGGTTACCAGGCGGTGACCGCGCAGCCGACGCGCTGTCGTCGTACTGTCACCGCGCGGCCGCAACGCTGTGACATTCTGTGTCATACAAACGCGCTCTAAAAGTAACAGAATAC